TCAAAGACCGGTGTTTTGACATGCTGAGACACTTTAGAAGCTTCTTCAGCTACAAGGTTCCTCTGACCATCCCTTGCCTCCCTTCCTCAGCAGGGAGAGACTTTCTGCAAAGTTTCCTCATCTACCAGATTCACTAAAAGAGTTGCATTTAGTTTTCTCACTTATTTCAGGAAGGCTGAAAGTCAAACATCACATCCAGATTTCAGAACTTTGTCCCATGCCTTTGTCTCATCCGAGCCCATTTATCTGCCCTAAAAAATAATTTACTATCACTTTAGAATCACTTATATCCCCATTTGCCTCTCCCTTATGAAGACAATTATTTAAGCTTCAATTATCTAATCTCTTCTTTGATTCTCATACTCTGTGTCTACTTTGTTTCTACAGGTTCACAATTCTGTATGTTTTCTCCTGTAATCTGTCTGTTGCCAGTTTAGCTCATAAATTAAAATTATCAAGCTTTTGAGGGAAAGTTGGAACTTCCCTTCACTGTCTTTAGATATTTTCCTAAAAGCATATTTTCACCTGAAAGAGGAGCTGATTGTCTAAGAGAAGTCACTGTTTGTCCAGACTTCTGTCCAGGACACAGCCTTGGGAGACATTAAGGAGCATGACCCCTGTCCTGGGTTTCATACAGATTTTAACTATCTTATGAAAAGGTACGACTCAGACCCATGGCAAGGAATCTAGCAATAATATACCTGCTCTTTAGGGCCTTTTCCAGTTTGAAGATTTCTCTATCTTAAGATACTGAGAACCTCACCTCTCAACTTGGCTAAAGACCTGTCCCCAACACAGTGCTAGTTGGTCACTAGCTCTAGGGTCCTCCCACTCTTCTAGGAGAAGCAGTAAGGAGTAGGAAAGGGAAAGTTTAAACCAAAAGGCTCAAGATACTTCTGGATCTACACGACGCAGAGGCAGGCCATGTCTATTTGTCATTTCTGAGGGAAATGCACACGAGGAAAATAAGCCAACATATGGAAAATGACTCAACGTGGTCACTTCAGTTATTTTTTTTTTTTAGTTATAAAATTCAGGTCTAAGCAACTAATGGTAATTCTAGCAGACTGTAGTTCCATGTATATGGCTATGGATTTGCAAGTTTGTATCTGCATTGCTTGGTTTTCACTTGACTAAGCAAATGAGGAGATGCCAGTTTTGTGGCGTTTTTAATTAAGTGAAGGCTCTGGTGTAAATACATAGCTTAAGAATTCTGGGGTACAATTAATGGCTGCATGTACTATACACATGGCAATATTAACCAACAACTGAAATAACAGCTCATGAAATGACTCTTCTAATTCCAATTATTCATTTCCTTCTCCCTGTAACAGAAGTGACATTATACCTTATAGGGTCATTATTTCACTCATCACATGAACCTTTGGCCTAGTGACTTATCCCTGGAGGCATCCTAAAATCACTGAGAAATGTTATCCCTGTCACGTCTTATTGCTTAATTATATCTCTATTTTAGGCTACTAAAGTCATTTGGCTTGGAAAGACCTGTGTGATCTTTGAACAAAGCTCCATGTTGAGTTATTCTTGAACTCACACTGCTCCATTTCCATCTAGTTTTGGCTTAAATAAGAACTATTTGCCCTTGGTTTCACAATAAATTGAATAATTATAATGAGTTCTTACACTTATGCTATTCTCCATGTAAGAAGATACTTTTAACTTTGTCAGAACAGTCTGTCCTTACTCTTTCCTCTTTCCAATTCACTCTTGCTGTGGTGACTATATAAAAAAGCTCAAAATCTGTACACATTGTCTAAAGTATATTTTTGCTTTTATTTTGGTTATATTTGTTCCTAGTACAAAAAGTGAAGTAAAAATATGGCAGTTTTCAGACACATCCATAGATTGCCAAACAACTGAACAGAATATTTAAAATTAGGAGTGCTCTAAAAATTTAGGACTTCTGAGGGATTATTCACATGCAATATTCCAGCCACTTATTTTGCTTCCCATTACTAAAATACACCTGTATCAGGCTTTATCAGTATAAATCTTAGTCCCTCAATTAAGAACTCAGTAGACCATTGGTATCCATGGGTATATGGTTCCAAGGAGACTGAATGCTCAGAATGTATAGAGTTCAGTACTCTAAGCTTACACTGTACCTATACCACATATACAGTAGGTCTGAGCATTCATAACTTGAAACTGCATGGAGTAGGCTACATTACTGTCCTGACAATTAACTAGTGTGTACATTAATATTGCTCACTGAAAGCTAAATCATATTTCATGCTCTTCACCTTGAATACTGAGGATGCTTGATTCATTTTTTTCCATACTACCACCCAACTTCTGCTAAAGACATGCTACCTTTCAACAAATCTAAACTTTTCACTTTATCACTTAAATCAAGCACATTAGGTGCTCTTTTTGGCTTCCCTTGCTTTTTGGGCACTATCTGCTTTCTGGGAGGCAGACAGTCACAGAATTAAGGGCAGGGAAACAACTCAGCAGATCACATAATGCTTCAAACACAACTGACATGAGACTAACCAAGAAATTCTCTACATCAACTGAGCTGCATAACACACATGAGGGAATTAAAAATTTTTGGTTTTGAAATTACTCTTTTATTTATTAAGGAAGGTTAACTATGCAAGCTTCTTAGGGACAGAAGGCATTGCTCATTTACCTCTTAAATAGTGCTACCTGTGTAGGTTGCTACATGCAGTTGTTTGATCAGTTACATAAACAGATGACACTGCATTTTCAGGACAGCTGTTTGGGATTAGGAGCTTGCAAAAGTAACCTAGCATTAAGGTAAAGGCAGACTGGAGAACAGTGTTCTGCTTCATTCCTCCAGAGAGCAGTTCAAGTCAGGCTTGGGGTAGATCTATGTTGAGAAGAGGTATAATTACCCTGGTCCAGCGTGGCCCGGTCTTGTCTAGCAGACTGAGTTATATCTATCAGGGTCTTTTAAAATGCTGACTTGGCTCCTTAGAAATACAAAACCCCAAACATCATTTATAAAGGTCACGGGGAATGGTCTGGGTCAGAATAACTTAAGTCCATTTTGTGCCAATGCCACGAAAGAGGAAGTGGCTGAATACTTAGATAAGCTCCTTGAGAGTACTATATTGCTAAATCCACACAAAGGACAAGGGAGGTTTATAGCTGAGGTTTTTTTTGCTCTATAATTCAAATGCCAATCCAGCAATGAAATATGCTCCAGAAATTCCAATTGGAGATTTTTATCATCTGACTTGGAAACCAGCTGTGCTCTTAGTGAGTATACAGATTTACCACCTGCGAGTGCTGTAATTCAGCAGAATTATGCAAAGGTGAAAATTTTGAGGAAAAAACTCAAGTTATTTTCAATGCAATGAGAACCGTGCTTTAAGTCTGCTTTTCTGAAACCCACAGACATGGATCGGTTTGTTTTTTTTTCAAAAAAAGGAGTAGGGAATCAAGGTTTAAGAACTCTTAAATTCAGAAATTCAAGTTTAACCAATGAAAGTGTGCTTTAAGACAAGTGAAATTTACAACAATTTAGTAAAGACTACCCTTTAAATAGAACAAGTGATGTAACAATTGTTCTATCAGTAATTTTAAACCAACAATTTCCTTCACAGAAAAGAACAATTATTGTATATTTGTGAATTTGTGTATCAAATCCATTTAAACATTTTTTTAAAAAAAGATATAACAGGGTTATCCTGGGAAAGCCAGTGCATATGGTCCTCATATCACAGAGCCCCCATTTCTCATTCATTCACTCTTGTTCCTTGCACACATGGGCCACAGCTGCTTTTGTATAAAACTGATGCAATAGAATTTTGTCACTTATATCATCACCTGAGCACTCGGATACCACCCTGGGAAAAATGAAGCAAGATAATATTTTTTTCCCAAAATAATGGCTTCAGTGGACCTTTTATAACCATATTTGAAAGCATTTCACACACAAACACAAAACCTCTAAATGACTTATAAAGCAAAATTGTTAAGTATAGGGATGAAGTGAGCTTCATAGTCTGAGATACGCAGGCTGTACATCACAAGTGCAGAGCTGCACTTGGTGTAGTTAACGCCGGCATTTGGGAGACTAAGGCAGGAGGAATGGGAGTTTGAGGCCAGCCTGGGCCACAGAGTGAGACTTTGTATTTAAAAGGAATGGAAAGAAAAAAGAAAGGAAAAGAAAAAGAAACAAAAGCCACTTAGATAACAAGCTGCTACCAAAATTTCTGGCTCTCAGTTTCTCCATTGTAAAATGAGATGACTAAATCAGAAGATGTATGAAGTCTCATCCAACTTATTCCTTCATGACTTTTATTTCTCCTTATAGTTTAGTTTATAAGTGTCTAGACTGAGAATTAAGATTGCACAAACCTGTTTTAAGCAGTATTATAAACTTCACTTGCTAATGAATTTTCTTTAGCAGCTCAAAGAATATAGTTTTGTCAACCACGAGGAGACCCAAGATTCATTACTGATACATATTAAACTGAAACTCTTAAGGTAAAAGAGAGATCATGCTATAAACATATCAGATTTGTTTATTCCTTAGAAAAATAAGAGTGTCTTAGGCAATAAAGTTTCAATTTGTAAGCAACTTGTGTGTATGTCATTCATAAATAAAAAACAAATATGTACATAAAATTTCTGTTTGGACAAGTCAGTAATGGAAAATTAATTTCAACTCAAATTATATAAAAGTACAAAGCTCATCTATATTACCAGAAGATAACCTTAAACAAACCCATTTAAAAACAGGAAGTTCCTAACTTTTCTACAAACTATTAGGGATATAACTGTCTTTATCTTCCTTTACAACAGTTCCTTTTTTGAAGACTTAAAATGGAAGATTTTTATTTGCTGTAATTTCTAATAAATAGTGCATAATTTACGATAATATTGACAGGTTTTGTGACAAAACTACAATAATTATATACATATGCATATATAGCACAATGTAGTGGTCAAGTATCAGTAATATGTAATTAACAAACTATTAAAGCAATAAAAAGGTAGCGTTTTAAAAATTTTAATGCTTTATGACAGGATGATTAATGTTCAACATCTAAAATATAGTCATAGAAAACTTTAGAAGGAAAATTCATAACTGGATATTCAAAAGTAGTGATATGATTTTTTATATTTTTAATCTTCACTTTAGAAATGATTGTCTAAATTTAACTAACCAATTCACTGACAAAATAGAACACATTAAAATTATACATATATAGCATGTTCATATGTGTGTATGTATGTCAACAAACAAAAACTAAAACCACTTAAAGACAAATTAAAGCAAAAGTAATGTTGGCTTAAAATATCTGATTTTGTACATAAACTTTAATTTTCAAGTTGTGTTTTAAAACTCTAGTAACATCCAGATAGGGCTAATTCAACCTACTACTTTTGTTTTTTCTGTTCCTGCCTCTCTCTGTTTAAATAATAATTTTGGCATCTTTTTAAATGATTGCATAAAATAGGATGTACACTCTCAATACTTCGCCCAGAGTTAAATAAGTTTGATTAGGCACTGAGTTGCCATTCTTCATTTTACTCTTCTGTATTTACTTAGTTTAAAACCACCCTAGCCAGGTAATTTTTCTTCCATCCTTTTTTTTCTTTTTTGCAATGCTCCAGCTCAAACTCAGGGCCTCATACTCTTCAACCCTTTGAGTCACTTATTTTAACTCAGTAATAAGGATTAAAGGAAGACTGAAGGAACTGAACCAAAGTCAAAGTGAAACATGCCCCTGGATATAAAATTATCATAATTAGGGACTCTGGAATGGTCAAACATGTTAGACCTACTAAAGCTAATCAGATTAAGAAATTAACAGTTTTAAAGAGGTTTTTATGAGATGTCAGGATATAACCTACTGCAATGTCATACTAACTGAAAAGAACACTGGCACTTCACGTGGCTAGAACAGCTGAGCTGTTATTAACTCTTTGATTTTGGCTATCTGGACTATGATGGGGGAGGCTACTACCATTTTCACACTGTTCATCTACCTTTGGGGAAGCAGCTTGTTCTTGAGGCTTTTTGTTCTCTTTAGCAAAGCTTAGTGTCACCCTCTCTCCACCAGGCTGACTTGGCTTCTCTACCACTTGCTTCCTTGCTTCTGCTTCCTGCTCCTGAAGCAACCTTTCCACCTCCACCTCGAGTTCCAAAGTCTCTTCATCAGCTTGTACATCCAGTTGTTGCATCAGCTCCTCCAACTTCTTGGCCTTTCGGAGCTCATTTTGCTGTATGATTGTACACAGATGCTCAGTGAGTTGCTCTTTTATCTCAGTCTTGCGCTGTAGATCTAGCTTTGCAGTAATGTACTCAGCTTCAGCTCTGTCAAACCGCTTCCTATCGGAACAGGTACAAAAATTGGTCCATTAGTTTTCCACTTAAGAAGATATTCAAAAGACAGTAGATAAACAATAAGCACCAAAAATCAAAAAAGAAATGTAAAATACAATGCAGATATTAATATTCCACAAACACTTGTCTGTACATTAAATAGGCTAGGTTATGGGTGCTGGACATTGACATCCTTACTTGGATTCACCTTCTATAACAATATTCTTCTGCACCCACTTCTTCTTTCCAAAGTTGTGTTTGAGTGAAAACAGGCTAATTTTAATTCAGTGGTATGCTAGCTCTGGGGTGAGAGTGGAGGGCACACAGCTGATTTGTAGTGTTTGCCAGTTTCTGTGGTGTAAACACTACCACTCTGGTCAATTTCCAGTTATCAATGGTACATCAGTAAATGTTGAATCGGGAAGATACACCCAAAACCTGGTTATACAACTGGTTAAATTTATGAGAGGTAAAACAAGAGACAGAGAAAGCAGAAAATCTGTATCTTCTATTAGTGGCTTAGAAAAAGCAGTATTTTGGTAGAGAAGGACACAGAAGGTAATTGGAAAGTAAACATAAATGAACAGAGAATACCCAAAAAAATGACAGTAGGTAAGGGTAAGAAGTAAATGTAAAGTGGAACAGAAAATGCTCAGGACAGGTTTGACAGGATTTCTCAATGTTAGCATTACTCACAATTTGGACCATATAATTCTTTCTTGTGAAGAGCTGCCCTATTCACTGAAGGATGCTGAATAGCATCACTGACTTCTATCTACTAGCTGCCAGTGCCACTCACTAGTTGTGACAACCAAAAATGTCTCCAGACCCTGCCAAACATTTCTTGATGAAAAATCTCTGGGTTAAGTGGTTACTTCTCTCTGTACTTGGCAGCAACAGACAGAAATTTTATGGACTGGCAGAAAAGGCTTGCCTAGCATGCACAAGGCCCTGGGTTCAATTACCAGCACCAAAAATAAAAAAGAAAATTTATGTATCTATGTATCTCTAAACTGTATAGATGGGTAATGCCAGTCTTATGGGAAGTAGGATAATTCTAATGGAGAAACCACCCTGTAATCCCTCTTTTGTCTTTTGCATTAGGTTGGTACAAAAAGAAAAGCTATCACATCTTCATGGTCAGCTAATGCTTGACCTACCTGTAAAACAGTGATGGTAATGTTGTCTTTTATGAATGATTTAAGATTCAATAGTACAAACAGGCCAAACATCCTGTTCCGTGCCTGAGAAACAGAACTTCCCCTTCAGAGCACCAGAATAAAATAACATTATTATTATATTAGAAAACATACATCTAAAATTAAGATTACATAAAATTTAGGGACCTGGTGTCTATACTTGAAAGTTGTTATTTACATAATACTCATTTACAAGACTTCTTTTTCAATAGTCCCCTATGTTAAAGGAATTATTCTAAAGGAACTCTGTTGGATATCTGGGTCCCTTATTTCTACAATCTGTAATATATCTTGCTTATGAATGTTCTTTCATCAAGTCAAGAGCACTGACAACATTTTCTATAGACCGAATACCTATAGAGATCAAGGGGTGTGTGTATGTGTTTCTATGAATACCTTGCCCCTTCCCCACTCAATTTTCCTTCTCTGAAAGCTTGTGGTCTCCCTCAGCCAGTAAGTCTGTTAGAGATTGTCAGACTAGGCTCATGAATACTGAATTGAAATTAACATTTGCAAGTATATCTCTAGGTTTCCACTGACCTTTGACCCTAGATAAATCACTTATGATTTTGTATTTTGTTTATTTATTTAAAGTCCTTCTGGCTAGAAACATACATATATATTCCTGTACAGAGTGATTTATGTTTAAAATATTGATTAGTTTCACAAACTGTACTACCAGCCTGGGGGTCAGGTGTATAATACCAAATCAGAATATGATGACATACTTTGGAACAGAATAATGAGAGCATTATATATACAACAAAGCAAGACATATTGAACTGGAAATGTAATTATGTAATTATTTTGTTATTTTAAAGGGATATTGAATGATTTAATGTTATTCAAAAAATTTTAGGAACTGTCTCTTGGTTTTGGTATCCCTGAAACTTAAAAAAATTCAATCGTTAACCCCTGGTATACCATCAGATTCCCGATTCAATTTTAGTTTTTTAGTTTCATTTCTGAGTGGCTTAAACTATTTATATGGATTAACATATCATTTTTATCTTTTCTCAGATATCTTTCAAAAAACAAAGCAATTTTATGTTTTAAAAAAATAAGACGAAAATGAATTCTATTTTGCAATTACTAGATGGGTCAATGAACCCTTTGGGATCATAGAGATGTTTTCCTATAGCTTCAGATATTTTGCCATCTCATCACACTAGGAATTTTTTTAAGCATTTTTATCATTACTCATTAATTATTCTTGCTGATGCTGATAATTAAAACAAAACAGAATGATGGATGGTGAAAAAGGATGATACAATAAAGAAGTATCATCACTGAGTTTTCTAACTGCTTTGTTCAAAATATTGTCACTTCAAGAGGGTATAAAAGAAGACTTAAAGCATCATCTTTATAACCTGTCCTTAGTTTTCATTGAACACAGCTGAGGATTTTTTATTTTTCATTTACTGTATTTATTAGTAACATAGAGAAAACTGACAGAAAAGACATTTTACTGTTGTGAGATAAATCAAAAAATGAATGCTGTGGTAAGTAAAAACAAAGCCTCCCAAAGATTCACTTCTTGATCTATGCACTTGTAAATATTACTTTATATAAAAATTACCTTATAGGAGAAAAGATGTGATTAAGGATTTTGAAGAGTTATTCTGAATTATCTAGTTGAGCCCTAATGCAATCACATCTGTCCTTTGAAGAGAGAAGGTGGAGGAAATGTCAAGAAAGAGGAGGAAGCAACGTGATAATGGAGGCACAGGATACAGCACTGTGGCCACAAGTCAAGAAATACATATAAGGACTGGTAGAATGGCTCAAGTGGTAGAGTGCTTGTCTAGCAAGTGTCAGGCCCTGAGTTCAAACCCCAGTATCTCTCCCACCCTCAAAAAAAAGAAACACATATTGGAACCACAAGTCGGAAAAGACAAAGCATAGAAACCTAGAGTCTCTGAGGAAGCATGACCCTCTAGAAATGTCTTGCCTCCAGAAATGTGAGAGGAGAAATTTCTGATGTTTTAAAGTATACAGTTCATGGTAATTTGTTAGGACTGTCCTAAGAGACTAACACAAAATAGATACACTCTGTAGAGTGAAGGTGGTAAAAGTAATCATCAGACTATGAGCCTTCAGAAAAACCCACTCAAGGGAATTTCTTCAAACTCAGGAATCAATGAATGAAAAATATACTCCTAAGGACAAAAAGGAAATATGATATTCTCATACAATTAATAGTAATTTCAATTAATCAGTCAATATTTTCGTAAGTATCTGGCTGTCCTGTGTTGCTAAAAAGATGTAGTTACATTCTCTCATCTCATTCTGACTTATTTACTATGCAAGAACCTTTTGTAGACAGAATTTGTACTAGGTACTATAGAACTAAAAAATTATTTTTATAAAAAAAAAAAAATCAAGGAAACTTCCTACAGAAACGGACTGCCCTGAAGATCACCTTCCAGTAAAAATCTGGACCATGATCGTTTTATTAATGACCATGCGAGGGCTCAAACGCAGGGCTTTGTGCATGCTGGACAAGGGCTCTATCACTCATTGTCCTCAGTCCGGGGCAATATTACATTCATCTACCATTTCTCAGTAACCACAAAGGCAATTTAGAAAATACTATGTTAATCTTATGCTTAAATAACACAAAACTCTGGTTCTAATCACAATTGTGCACAGCTTCTCTGACTTACTTCAAGAGCTTAAACTTTTTGTTTGTTTTTGGTCTTTTGAGTAATGATCTCATTATATAGTCTAGGATGGCCTTGTACTTACTTTGTAGCTTAGGCTGGCCTCAAACTTGCAATCCTCTTGTCTCACTTTCCTGAGAGCTGGAATGGTGTGCCACCATGCCCAGTGTGAGCTTAGGCTTTTAAAACAGCACACCACCACCCATTTACATGTAGCAATGTCAATACCGCTATAGTGAAACTTGGTATGTTTAGCTCATTAAAGATGTAATAGATAAGAATTTACCAAAATTTCATTAATTCCATCTTTTTTGTGGTTCTCTGAAGGCTAAAACCGACATTTCTTACATAATATTCAATATTAAAAGGCATCCTTCTCCAGCCTCTACTAGGATAGAATTAAAACATAATCAAGATTATTTTCCTGTTGAAGTACACAGCACTGTACCTTGTACTATGAATTATTCATATAAAAGGCTACAAAGGCACACTCATATTACAAAGAAAAATGTACTAAAAATCAAGGCTTATTTTTAAGCTTAATAAAATCTTGGTTACCTCCTTAACAAGCTTATTAATAGAAATCTGGAACCTTTAGTTATCAGGCATTTAGACTGTTAATTAATAGAGGCACCCATTATGTCTAAGAGCATATGGTCAAAAACAATTACAAAAATCACAAGGACAACCACAAGCCTCTTTCTTAAACACTAAATAGTGAATTAAAAACCATCATCAAGCATTTCCGCTTTATTAAATTGTTATATAAACATTCTGATGTTGTGGTTTACCCTGGAGTAATGAGGCATCCTGATTGATTTCTAGTGTTACAGAGAGGCAAAACTGAGTCGTTAACACAGCATTCCCTTGTGAAAAAAAGACAAACCAGGATGATTAAAGCAATGTTGAAGGGACTGAAAACCTTGAAATTGAACATATTTTTTTGCCCTTTTATCTGTCTGTGAACCCATGTAATTCTTCACATGTGTTAGTTTATTTAAAAAGTATTCCATGATTTTTTTTCTTAACAAAAATGCCAATGGTTAAAACCAAGGAAACATGTATCAAACCATTCTTACAAAGTATAATCCAAGAGAGAGACAGAGAAAACCTCAAGAATCTTAAGAGTGGTATTTTTGTTAAACTATTCGTAAGCTTTTAAAAAATAAACTAGACCTTACTTTCATGAAAACTGAAGTGCAAATTTGGCTCCAATTCCATAAAAAACCTATCAACTAATCAAAAATTGTAATGGAAGGATACAGACCTGGTGTTAGAATAATACAGTTTGGGGGCAAATCACTCAGACATTTAAATTGCAAGATCTGAAAGATTAATGAGAGTCCAAAACATTAAATAGGCCAAGATTCACCAGGAAAAAACTAAAATGTAAGTAACATAGCAGGGAATGCTCTAACAGGCATTTAAACAAGGCTAACTAGGAGGGCCGATGTAGCCATTGGATCAGCACAGAAGAACAAATACAGTATTTAAATGGGGTTGATATGAGACTTAAATGATGGTATACAACCCACTGGCCCAGCTAATAATAAACATTAATTAAACCAGACTCCTTGTTCAATTTCCCCAACGCACCGCGCATATGAATAGTCTAGGCTGGCCTGATCAATTCGGTTCCTGAGGATTCCAATGTCAGCAGACACCAGGTCATCTAAAGCCTGTAACTCCTTCTGGATTCTCTTTAGTTTCATGGTCTCTGCCTGAGTTCTTTTAGATCTAGAAAACCAGGATGAGTAGGGGAATACATTTTAAAACATGTACCCATATACAATACAAGTGAAAAAGCAAGATACTATCTACATAATTATAGCTCATGATTTTTGTTTAAAAAGTAAGCAAAATCAGAATCATAATAAAATAAATGTTAATAACATTTTGATACAGCATTAGGACTACAGTTGAGGATCTTTCCCTCTTATTTTCATAAATTTTCTATTAGTACTTATTATTGTCATAAACAAGGGAATTACAAAAGATTTTTTAAAATGTCCCAAGAAACAGTTCACTTGCAGACCTATATTCATTCATATCTGCACTCCCTTTATATTAAAGTATCCAACACAGCTTTCCAAAGTTCTAGCATTACAAATTTTTCTTGTGGTGCTGAGAAAGGAACCCAAGGCCTTGCACATGCTAGACAAACCCTCTACTACTGAGCTACCCCAGCCCTTCATTTTTTGAGACAATCTCACCATGTAGCTCAGGCTAATCTTATACTTGCTATGTAGCCCAGACTGGCCTGAAACTCAATCCCATTGCTCCTACCTCCAAAGGCTGGGCTTACAAGTATTTGTCACCACACCCAGCTTATATTCTTCCTTCCTGCTAAGCCCATTTTCAGTTCTGATACTTACCTGACAAGAAGAGCAGATACTTACATTAAACACCATTACTTTATACCTGAAAATATCTATTTGCTTTTAACTTTCTTAGGACTCATTTCCCCATACTTTTATTGCTTTGGTTCTTATTCAAAATTATCTCTGGAGCTTCTTATTTCTTTGTTTAAAAGCACATGCAACTTCATTATCTCTCAATCCCTTGACAAACCTCAAGTAAAATACACAATTAACAAACAGAATAACAAATACAAAGCAAACCTTTAATAATGATTTCCTTCATTTCTAAATTTCACACACATTCATGGAGGAGCAGAAAACCCCCATACGACACCACTATCCTGCAACTTATATTCTTTTGATTTCTACTGAATTATGCATGTACCTCTCCTTTCTACCTACAAAAGATCACTTAAAAGTAGGATTCTTTTACTCCACATACTTCACTACACATTTACTAAGGATCCAATCATGTTGTATTTCCTTACATTTCTGCCTGTATCAGTATTTCCTGTCTTAAATCAAAAGCACTTAGAGAAGAAGTGAACTGAGCCTATAAATCATTTTATTTTTTTCTTTTTTTTGAGACAGGGTCTCACTAGGTAAGGTTGGTTTCAAACTCATGATCGTTCTGCTTCAGCCACCTGAGTGCTGGAATTATAGGTGTGGCCACCACACCCAGCTAAGCCTATAAATCCTTTTGTAAAATTCACACTAAAATAATGCTTCTTAAAAATAATCATTTGTGGGGGAAAAACAATTATTTTCTTATAGTTTCTTCTTTCTTAAAACATGGTTAAATCAGTGATTTGTTATTTCCTATGCGTCATGAAAGATCCAGATGCTTCAGTAGAGGGAAAAAGTCATTTTTATATACATATATTGTATTGGTAGAAAAAATTCGGAGTTACTCTTATATCCACTTACTTACCTTCCTCTGACCAATTCTCTTAACTCTACATATATTCCACCTTAAGCAGTAACAGTTTTGCAAGACTTTCCTAGAAGTTTAAAAAAGAAAATGCCACTCAGGCCAGTGGCCCACACCTGTCATCCTAGCTACTCAGGAGGTATAGAGATGAGGATAGTGGCTTGAAGCCAGACACCTGGCAAATAGTTCCAGAGACACTATGGAGGGAATGGGTAACATCACAAAAAAGGGCTGGTGGAGTGGCTCAAGTGTAAGAGCACTCCAGTTCTACCAATAAATAAATACCTATTCTCAACTACCACTTTACTCACTATGCTGTTTCCTAAAGCCACCATTTAGAAACTACAAACTACAAAACCAGCAAGAGTAGTGTGGGATGAGAAGAATGGCACAAATGGGAAAACTGACATTTGGGGCAGGTGCAATACAGTAGAGAAGGGGGATCATTGACAAACTAAAACTGGGAGGTGTGAGAAATCAAGTCTCACACAGAAATCATAATGGCTACCCTGAGTCACCAATAAAAACTTAGATTATATCATATATATGTTCTATTAGTGGAGGCAGGGTAAATCATTTAAGAAACATGTCTATAGGAAACACAATTACGATTTGTGGTAGTAGGGCTGGGAGGCACAGTTCAAGTGGCACAGCACTTGCTTAGCAAGCGCAAAGCCCTGGGTTCAATCCCCAGGACCACAAACAAACAAAAAAATTTGTGAGTATAAGTCACTTGCGTAGAATAACCTTACCCCGCTACATGTCAGATTATGGCCTCTCCACATCAAAATTTAAAACCTATACTTGTTACTCATTTACTTTTTTTTTTTTTCCTTTTCGGTACTAGGGCTTGAACTCAGGGCCTTCACCTTGAGCTACTCCATCAGCCCTATTCTTCTGAAGGGTTTTTGAAGATAGGGTCTCACAGAACTTTTTGCCTGAGCTGGCTTTGAACCATGATCCTCCTGATCATGAGTAGTTAGGATTACAGGTGTGAGTCACCAGCACTCGGCTTCATTTACGTATTTGATAGCAATTTATACCTTTTCTTGTGAATGTCTAGATGCTTACAACCATAAACAGTGATGCTGGTCCTTTAACTGCAGCTACATTTATAAATTCATCATGATCTATGTTTTAAAACTTGCTCCTGAGGGCTGTGACTTTGTTTAAGTGATAGAGCATTTGCCTAGGCCCTAAGTTCAAACCCTACTACCACCAAAAAATAAATGACATAAAAATCCTCTTGAATAAATGAAAACTAGAATTTTAGTATCATTTATAAAAACAAGCATAATTTGTTTAGTTAGCCTTTAAAAAGCAATGTGTCAAAACAGGCATGGGAAAATATAAAACAATAGCAGGAATGACTACAGGTAACAACCTCTCATGATTCAGATCTCACCTTTCTGCAATAGCTTTCGCCAAAAGAGCTTTCTTACGTTTATTTTTCTCTTCCATTAGACGTTGTTCTTCTTGGAGGACTTCCCAACGAGCTTTTTCTTGCCTTAGGAGCAAAAAAGGTATAAAAATGAATTTATGAAAAAGACCACTACCCTAGCCACACCTCGCCAGACTGTCTTCTATGTATAAAATTTAATCAAGCAGATTACATAAATTTTCTTTCAAAAAATCCTCTTAAAAGAAACCCATCTGTAGCTCATTATTCTGTTCTAATAGGAACAAAGACTATGATCAGAGGCAAAAAAGCTTACATAAATCGGACCTTTGAAATCCATTATATGTATGTAATCTAGGAATCCACAAAACTGGAAGGCAGAGTACTATGGCATTTTTTGTTTTTTAGAAGTACAAAGAAATGTGTAAATTAGTATGTGTTATATGTAAAATGGAGATAATATAAACTGGTGTGCATCTGATGTCACGCCATACCTTTTAGGGTTTTCTCTAATAGAAGTTCCTACTACTTTAACATCTTTAGGACAATAACCAATGTTGATTTCATAGACTTCTTTCAATTTGCTCACTTTTTCCCCACTGTTAAACATTTTTAAACAGAGAAAAGCACCATGAACTAAAGCTGAATGGAACTAGGCTAAAAAAAATTTCAAAGACTTGAAAACACATATTGTCTTCCAATGTGTCCAATTCTAAAGCAAATAGATTAAAATTTCCCATAAAGTCACAAAGTTGATGTCAACTAAATTAAAAAGGTAATAGCAAAACTATTTATTCCCACTACTGGCATTTCTTACAGCCATTATTTCAAGTCTCTATTCACAAACCTAGTAACCACAGCCAAAACTGTCCTCTCTGTTCCTACAGCTTGCACCTGAAAGTGTTGGCACTGGTCTTTTCATCTTTACAACTAAAGATGTCTCCTGACCAGGTGCCTTAGTTCCAGCCCAATACTCCCAAATGGTGACACCTGGCATTGTTCTAGCTACTACTTTGATCAGAACACTTCTCCCTCCGAGTGAGTCCTTGTTCTGACATCCTCTGCCTCATAGTCTTTCCTTACTCTATTTCTCTACTATTCTCTAGTATACCCTTTACCTCTCCTAGAGAAGTGAGGTGTCATCTTAGACCATTCTGTAGGATATACCTTTCCTTTCCCATACTTATAACTTCAGAGTTTCTCCTTTTCATCAATGGCTCCTCAAATTCCATGTCTTCTATGAATATTCTCCCAAGTACCTAAAAAACCAGTTATTTTCCTAGTAACATTCAAACAAAATTATCTAACTCAATCATGAGTTTAAGGCCAGCTTGGGTCTTTGTGACAAGGGAGACCTTGTCACAAAATAAAACAAATTATCTATCAAAATTTAAACTCACTCCTCCTCCAAGTGATCTCAGTTGGTAAAATACACTTAAAGATATTTAAATGTATTCACTTTCAATGTTGATTTCATTATTCATGTGTTTTTTATATCTCTTGTCAAAATGAATTTTTAATCATAACCCCTCAAAGGCAGGAAGTATTTTAAACTTACAGTACAGAATATGAATCAGCTGAGATTAGAAATGCATGAAATTAGAAAAAAATATGATACTTTGGAAAAAATTCTGAAAAGAAAAAATAAAAACAAATACCATCATTTCTCCCCTATTACTATTCTAAGAATCACAAGTGACAAACTGGCAATTCCCACAAGAGTGTGGTCAATCTAAACCATGTAAGTTCTAATAAACTCATTAAATAAAGAATAAAAAGAAATCTAGTTATGCAAGTGAACTGAAAAATTAATCCACTGAATTTCCTACAGTCTCTCCTTTGACCATCCCTTCACATCTCTTCATAACTACCCTTTTCAGGGCTGATGGAGATGCCATCTGGAAACTGAAGAATGGATTTAGTTAGGGAATGGCACTATGCCTACAAGAACTGCTTCTGGTGAGTGTAAAGGGCAGACTTTGGATCCAGTCAGATTAATATGTGAATCTCAAGTACTTTGCTTACTAGTTGTGTATTAGGTTGGGAAAACATTTTTTTTTTTTTTTTTAAAGAACAGGGTTGTGTTATCTGGTGCAGGCTGGCCTAAAACAGCCAAGGCTGGTCTTGAACTCACTCCTGATCCTCCTGCCTCAGTCTCCTGGGTGTCAGGACTACAGGCATGTGTACCACCATGCCACGTGTTAGGAAGATAATATCTTTTCTGTGTTCTAGATACCTCATCTATAAAGTGAAACTAATACATTTATTGTAATGCCATTGTAAAGACTAAATGATATAAAACATAAAATGCCTAACAATACCTGGCTTATATTTAGGTGGTAGCTTCTTTTCAATAGTTTATTGATCACAGTTCTAGGTATGAATATAAAACAGAGAAAATGTTACAACAAATCAATAAACTATATTTCCTCAAAGCCCAATGGGGCAGGGGTATAAACCAAAGTCTTAAAGACTTACTAACAATTCCACTTTCTTTTTCTCCAATTTGCAATCTGGATTTGGAGGTATAACCTCAACATTTCTGTGACCATCATGGGAATTCTCAAGTCCTGGTTCCCTTGGTTGACTTTCAGTACCCTGTGGTATTCCATCACCAGTGGGAGAAGTAACTATAAGAGGATTAGAAAGAGTAGGGGAAGAAGAATGTGGTTTTTGATTGTTAAGTCTCTCTTTTGGTGCAGATAGCAGCTGCTCTGGAGGTAATGAGGTTGATCCATCTTGAAGTCCCAGTTTTTGGCTTTGTTCTAGAAGGGCTTTTTCTCGCTGAAGTTGTTGTCGAGTTTTCTTTATGGGGAGACGGCGTTGAGGTTCAAATGGCTCTATGGAAAAGAAATGAAGGAAAATTCCTTCGTGTAAGCAGCAACTAATTACAATTTCCTCTAAGAAAGTACAGCATTGACATTACACTAGAATTATCTGATAATTATTCTAGAATACTTCCACCCCATTCTCTATCTTGGAAGTCCAGGAAAAATCAACCATTTTCCTATAGAGTTTAACACTCAAATCATAATATTTAACAAAACCTCACCTACCTCTCAGTTTATCTTTACAGGAAGTACATTTTATTGTGAGTTAAGCCTTAGAACACAAAGCAAGATTTCCTTTTCAAATTAACTGGTACTGCCAAAAGAATCAGGTATTTTTTTTTTTTTGGTGGGGGAGTAGGACTGGAGTTTGAACTCAGGGTTTCCCACTTGCAAAGTAGGCACTCTACAAATTAAGCCATGTCTACAGTTCATTTTTGCTCTGGTTATTTTGGAAATGGGGGTCTCATAAACTATTTGCCTAGGCTGATCAAGAACCATGATCCTCCCAATCTTAGCCTCCCATGTATCTAGGAGTATAAGTATGAGCCACCAGGACCCGGCAAATCAACTAATTTTGATCCAACTGATAGACAAATGAATTCTCTGGTATGTTTGACATTTGATTTAAAGTTCTACCTGTCTTTATGAAACAAAATGGTGGTTAGTTTTTAAAATGGGATTCCCTTAATTTTAATAGTTTTAGGACAATCTGATACATAGGTAGATAATACAACAGAAATGGATTGAATAAAGTCTCTTGCCAGCTAATTCTAAATTGTTTTATTTCACCTTACAGAACAATCAAAGGTTTTATTCCCTGAAGTCTAGCCAATCAATACATTCAAACTAATTTTAATGGTAACTTTAGCAACAGAGGAAGGTAACACAAGTGGGGGATTTTTTTTTTAAAGCATAAACTAAATAATACTTCTATTATACTTTCTGGACTGTCCATGCTAGTGGTAACCTCTAGGGTAGTCAACTGAAGAATTTGATTTTCATATTATATTTAATAAAATCTGTAAATAGCATTTTCTATAAAATGTCTGGAAAATGAAATTATGAGCCCTTATAAGAACTCAAATAGGAATTTTAAATTCTATATACTGACCTTTGAAGTACACAAGCTTATTATTTCCATTTCTCAAAGTAGAGTTAAAAGCTCTGGAGTCACAGACCCAGCTTTGCCTCAGACTAGCTCACTGACCCTAGGTAAGCCACTTAATTGTTCAATACCTCAGCATCTTCATCTGTCAAGCCAGATGAAAATAATTTGCTCTGCTTAACTTATGAGTTATTGTAAGAATCAAATACATGTACAAAAAACCTTTTTTGCAGTACTGAGGACCCACCTGAGTCACTCCACCAACCTGGTTAGTTTTGATAGAACATCTTGCTTTATGTCCAGTCTAGCTGGGACCATGATTCTCCTATTTGTGTGTCCCTGAGTAGCTGGGATGACAGGTACACACCACTGAGCCCAGCCATTGGTTGAGATGGGATCTTGCACAGTTTTTGCATAAACTGACCTTGAACCATGATCCTCATTTCTGCCTCCCAAGTAGTTAGGATTACAGTCACCGTGTCCAGTTAGAAATTATTATTTTTTGGTGGGACTGGGATTTGAACTCATGACTTCATGCTTGCAAAGCAGGCATTCTATCATTTTAGCCACACCTCCAGTCCATTTTGCTCTGGTTATTTAGGAGATGGGGTCTTGCAAACCATTTGCCTGGGCTGACTTCAAACCTCCTGATCTCAGCCTCCCACAAAGCTAGGATTAGGCATGAGCTACCAGCGCCCAACCAGAAATTATTTTTAAGCCAGAACTACCATCAAAAGTAAATATGATCAGGTATGGTAGTGTTATTGCTGACTTTATCCAGAAACACATAGTATCCTCCTGTATCTTGCATTAGGAACTTATTGGCTAGTGATCTTATTCACACCATCAGAAAGTATCATTGAACCTATTCAAATCCCAACTGAGCTCATTAGCTAAAAGTTATTAGTAGTTTCTCTGCAACTTGATTATTGTAGCTTCTGTTTTATTCTGCATTCTACAGATACTACGTAAGATTAAAAATGCTCATTTTTCACTACCACACAATAAACAAATCAGGTCACTTAAAAATGGAACAGATTGTTTTTACATATTGTGTACTGGGAGCTGCAAATAGAAAAGGGGGCTGAGAAAATTGAGACGTGTAAGTCTAGTGTAAAGGGAGCTCTCCACCATCACTTCTAGTCATTAAAAAAATTAGGTCAGTTTTGCCAGATATTTTCATTTTTCACAATTAAAAACCAGATTATTTAATTTAATTTTTTTGTGGTGCTAGGTCAAATCCAGTCTTGCACATGCTAGCCAAGTGCTCTACTGTTAAACTACACCCCTGACCCCAAAGTTAAGATTTTTATATAAAACATTCTGGTTTTTAAACATAGGGAATTATATCGATTGTGAAAATCCATATTGTGCTATGGGGGAAACAACTTTGGAATCTTAATGGCTTTAAGCACCAAAGGTTTATTCCCCATGAATGGCATGTGTCATTCATGGGAAATAATGTGTCAGTGGCAGGCTGGGGATGTAGCTCAATGGTAGAACATCATGAGGCCCTGAATTCAACTTCTAGTACTGCAACAAAACAAAACACCCAAAGTTCAGCAGGGAGGTTCTGTTGATCCATCTGTACAGTCACCATTTAGTGGTGCTAGCCATTAAGATTAGGAGAAGAAGGGACAGCTTAGGCAGGTCTTGCTACAGCAATTAATTACTCCAAATCATTAGTTCCAAAGCACTTCTAATCAGAATTCAATGGCTGAACTAGTACCTTGTCCTACCTCAAGAACAGTAAGAACAACAGGTATATATTCTAGTTTGGTAAATAGCACTAATGACTATCACCACGATTAACTTAAAAATTTAAAGACTGGGCATATAGATTCTGTGGATGCACTTTCTCTTCAATACATGGTAGTCGGATGTTTTAACTTTTTTCAATAAAGTGGGTATAAGGTAGCATCTCATGGTACTCTTGAGTTCTAATTCTCTTTTCATTGGTGGTGATATGCATATCTTAAATTTCTTCTTCTATGAAATATCTATTCATGCCTTTTGGCTTTTTGTATTTTTCATATATCAATAGCAAAGAAATTTAAAACATAATTACAGGGAAAATATTTAAATATAAGAATTATCATGCATCTAGAAAAAAATCCACAGAAAGATGTTTAAGACTTCTACAGGAAAAATTTCAAAATTTATTAAGAGATATTAAAGAAGGCCTAAACAAATGGAGACATGTATTACATTGACTCAATGCAATTCTAATAAAAATTCCTACAGCTTTGTCCAGAAATTTGGTTAAATTATTAAAATTTTTACATGAAAGGATAAAGGCTCAAGAATAGCATGGAAATTTCTAAAGAACAAGGGGGACCAGACGACTAATATCATGAATATTATCAAGTTTTCTGACACTGGTATTTGTACAGGAATAAACAAAATGACCAATGGAACAGAATAAAGGACTCAGAAACTGATTCATCCTTATATAAAGCATGACAGAGGCAGCATTGTAAATCAACCATAAAGGTGGGATTTTAATAAATGGACATGGGGAAAAATCTAATCCACACTTCATTTCATACAAAAACAAAGTCTCTTAATAAAAACAAAAAGATTAGTACCTTTTAGACCTTATGGTAGGGGACTGATTTCTTAAGACACAGAATATGTTGGCTACTAAACAAGGGTAACAAATTTGAATATATTAATATTAAATACTTTGTTCACCAAAAGATAATCAAACACAAGTTACAAATTGGGAAAAGATTATAACTGGCAAAAAATGAGTATCAAGAGTAAAAGGTTCACCAAGTGTGATAGTGCATGCCTGTAATTCCTTCCACTTGGGAGGATGAGGCAAGAAGATTGTTGGTTTGAGGCCAAAACAAGACCCTCTCTCAAAACAAAAAGATACATATGAATAAACATTTTGACTAGAAATTGGCAGGGCTTGGCTGCACTGTGTTACTTCCATTTTTTTCATTATGAAATAGATCACATGTCACATGTGTAAGCCTAATTACTCAGGATCAGGATCGTGGTTTGAAGACAGCCCAGATAAATAGTTCCTGAGACCCAAAATACCCAACAGAAAAAAAGGCTGGTGGAGTGGCTCAAGTGGTAGAGTGCCTGCTTAGTAAGCATGAGGCCCCGATCTCAAACCCCAGTACCAGGGAAAAAAAAAAAGCATGATTTAAAAAATAAAACATGACTGTGGTAGACATAACTGCTGTTTGTGGACAGACATCTCCCCCCTTCTGAACATACAAAGAGAAATTTATTTCCTGTCCCCAAGTCATATGCTTTACTTTCATTAAATGAAATATAAGTAGGAGTGGCACTTGATTGAATTGGAGAAGTTTTGCATAACCAGTGTGTTAATTTAGACTGCTACATTAAATCTTCTTTGTCCTGACAAACTCACCTCTGCTAAAACATAACTTCTGTGAAATATTCCCATGCTCTACCCAATTCCCAACACAGTGAGTTTCCTCCAGCTCCGTAGCAACCTCTTGTACAACATCTACTGTCACATTATTTCATTGTCTATCTCATTAAGCTATAAGCTCCCTGAAGGCTAAGATGATGCCTTGCTCATCTTGGCATCCCTGATGCAGAAGCTGATACGTGGAACTTGGAAGTCAGACATAAGCAAAGGTCCCTGTACTCTATACATCTAGATATGTGAATGGATGCTGGAATCACATAGCAAAAGAATTTGAGAACATAAAGCTAATCAGCTAACCACACCCTGTAGTTTAACCTTTATGACTTAGATTTTTAAGACCTCTGTAATCAGTCCAGAAATTTCCCCAGTCTACATAATCTACACTGAATCTTTGTTACTAAATTACTTCCTTTTTCACTTGTCAGCCCTAGATTATTCTCATGTCTACAGTAAAAATGCACAGGGGACTTGAGCCATATCCAATTTTCCCGCAGACAACTGGCAGGATTTATTTTTCTTCCTCCAATAAGTACTTAAATTATGGTACCAAGAGTGGCAGAAACTTCTCACAGAAGTGGTGTCCACTACCAGGATCACCACACAGATCTTTATGAAATTTCAATCACAAGCAAAGCACTAAGAGTTTCTCACTTAATTCTTTCATGAAAATATATATTTTAAAAATACAAGCCCATTCATGATCATTCTATAAAGCCAGAGGGGGAAGCACAAGATTTTAGTTCACACCAAAGTTAGCAGGGATATATAAGGATTAGATAGTTCACGTCCAACCTCTCAAAGACCCTTTCGCTTTGCTGACTCTCAAGAGCTGGAAAGAACTGTAAAAATCATCTGGCAACCAGAAGTGACTGTTACACTCCAGATGTATTATAACAAACACCATTTTTTTTTTTTGCGTTTATTTGTATCTCATGTACCTTCCCCCCGCCCCTCCAGTAACTGTCTTCTGTAAATGCATCCCAATTCTACATTGTGTGTGCTGGGCCCCTCCTACCTTTACTCTGACCCCAATCCTGCAACCACTGATTCGTACAGCAATCCTCCCTATAGGAGACACCCAGGCAGTGGGCACACTTTCCCTCCTAAATTCCACTCCTCTCTACAGGAAAAAGTCAAATCCCTATTACGGATGCCTGAGCCCTCTTTCCTAAGACAGGGACCCGGCCTCCTAAGTCCACACCTCCTGCCACAGCCCCAAGTATATCCGCCTCTGGAGCCCCATCAGTCCGGCCCCTGCCCCCACTCACAATCCCTTCCTTATCCCCAAACACAGAGCTTCTTCCACGCCCCCTTCTCCCTCAAATGCTACAGCTCCGCCCCTTCCCCTTAACGGAGCCAAGGACTAAACAGCTGCACGCACATCCCATTACCTTTATTCTGCTTTAGTCTTCTCAGCTCCTCCTCAGAGAAGCCCGCCCAACCCTGCGCCATCCGTCCCGGCTGCCAGTACCCCAACAGCGCCTAAATCCCAGCGCCCGGACTGCCAACACGGCGGCACAGTACATCCGGGTTCTTCTCTGGCTGCGGCAGACCAGCCAATCAGCGCGTCGAGTTCTGGACCCTAGTGCCCTTCGGGCGGCGGACTTCGGCTCCCTTTGTGGCTGCCTTCAGTAGCGCCGGATAAACTGCCTTAGCAAACCTAGTGCAGAAATTCATGTCCCTTGACTGGCCTCTGTTCTCTCTCCTGGTTCTCATTCTCATTGATTGGTTGCCTCAAGAGACGAGAGGGAGAAATGGCGACGTGAAAAAGAAAGGAGAAGAAAAACAGGCAGTTAGGCAGTGGCCACGAGTCGGTGGCGGAAGAGGGAGGGCGTGACTGACTCTTGGGTCCTCTGTAAATCGTGGGGCACTGTTCCTGCTATGCGGAAGCCCTGCGCTCTGCGGTTCGCAGAGGTAGCTTTGAAAGCTCTTGTTTGCCTGGGAGGGTGAACTGCGTGGAAGCTTCCTTCAGTCTGACTCAAGAAGCTATCAGATTTAGTTTCGTGGGGAGGGGTGTTGAGACAAGGTCACGCTAGCCTTGGCTGGACTGCAACTCGCCATCCTACCTCTGCCTTTTGAAGGCTGAAATAACAGGCGTGCACCACCCACGCCCTGCTAGATTTAGGATTTTAATGTTGGAACTTTGATTAATGATAAGGGAACATAGTCAGCCCTCTCACAGGAAATAGCGTCTCCCAGATTTCTTTTGCTTGTGAATTGTTTCTTTTGGATGTGATTCTAATATGTAACCTCTCTCCTAAGGGATTAGTATCTTCCCTTAAAAAAAAAATCTCCGGAGAAGACAATGTAAAACATCAGCGTAGAGGGATGAGAAGCATTTCTTAGGATACTACTTGGAAGCCTGATTTATTGACTGACTGATCGATTAATTGACTGAGGCCCAGGCCGGCCTAGAACTCAGGATTCTTCTGCTTCAGTCTCCCCAGTGCTGTGATTACAGATGTGGACTACCATGCCTATCTCTTTGGGCTTCCATTTCTTTATTTTAAATAGCATTTAGAAGATTAAAAGGTAGAAACTTTTTCAAAGTATGAAAAGTCAGTATGATTTGAAGGAAACCGGTTATCCTATTTTTACATTTCTCTTTTCACTTTTGTGTAATAACAACAGCAAAACCTCCCCCATTACCTTGGCTTACATGTGAAAATCCAGGATGTGACTCAGCTTTAATGTATCAGTTCTGTGTTTAAATAAATAATATGCTTAAACTAAATGCAATAAAGACATAAACAGGAAAATAAAATATCGCACAAAAAAAAAAAAAATTGAAATGAGTGCTTTAGGTTTTATCTTCGTGATCAGACCGGGGAAATGATGTTTGGAATCTCTTGTAAGTTTTGAACTTTGAGACTTTAAAGTGTTCTCTGAAATTTTGGGATGCCACAGACATTTATTTTAAATGTGGATTCATTTTTCAGTACATTTGAAAAGTAAAATGTTACCCAAAAGAATTGGAAGACCAAATAGCCGTCTGACTCCAAAAGGATTGGAGGATATAGCTTCATTCAGTTTTTCTTTGTTGTTCTTGTTGCAATTATGGTTTTAAAAAAAATCATTGTTGTACTGAGGATACGTTGTGACATTTACACAAGTTCTTACAATATATCATAGTTTAATTCATCCCCTCCCTCTCCATCATTCTCCTTTATCCCCTCTACCAACATTCCGGGAATAGTTCAACATGTGTCATTTTTCTATTTTCATACATTCATTCTCCTTTTCTTATATAAAAATACAGAATGCTTTACGAATTTGCGTGTCCTTGCGCAGGAGCCATGCCAATCTCTATCTACTGAAGCGAGACCATCCAGTTTTTTTTTTAATTAAATATGTTAAAAAATAGATTATTTAGCTCCAGAATAGGAAATGTGAATTAGTGGCAATCTAGTAGCTAATTCAGTTTCCCATTTGCAGGCAACAGCCATGCTGATACTTATTTCATCTAATAGCAATATTGAACCAATTTGTGTGCCCCATGTTGAATTTTATAAGTAAGTTTTCTTTGGCTCTCTCTGGATGAATTTCAGAAATTATAAATAATTTTAATAGAGATGGTAATTATGGTATTTTAAAAGGTTTTGCACTAGCCCTAAGTGAGAACCAAAGCATGAACAAGATATAATAAAAGATAATGAAATCCATCTGTATAAAATTATAATTTCCAGTTTGCAATGCTCTAAATCTCCAGCTTGTTGTTTCTGTCGACCTTCTCTCATGGTGGCCATTTTCTTCAAATGATGTATATTTTACTGGGAGCTTTGTTTTAGAAGGTCTTTGTTTTGTGGAAGTCCTCATACCCTCGGTTGAGAGTTATCTCTGCAGATTGATTTTTCTGGGCCTGAGAAGTGTCAGTTGTGTTAAACCAGATTTAAGATAATTTTTTCAGCTTATACTATGAATTTGGATTTTACCAAATATGTGATACAGGCCTCGGTTGTCAGGTGGGGTGTGTGTGTGTGTGTGTGTGTGTGTGTGTGTTTAAGTCACAGATGGCAGGCTCCCTTATTAGTTTTCCAGAGCAATATGCTGAGTGGTAGTTTTCTTTTAATCCTTGTAAGGTCTTTTATTTCAGGCCCTTGCCTTCAAATTTTTATTTTCAAATATGTGTAGGAATTGCAATCTCAAGGACCTAAATTATGTAAGTTCCCCCTTTGCTTTTAAATATTTTTTTCATTTGAATAAAAACATGTTATGTAATATTCAGCATTTTATGTGTTTATGGAACACTTTCCATAAACCCTTTCCACACCCTGTGTGACAACTTAGACTATATTGTCTCCAGTTGATTCTCTACCAGAGCAACTAAAGTAAGATTTTTTTTCATTGTACTGGGGGTACATTGTGACATTTACAAAAGTTACGGTATATCATAGTTGAATTCATCCCCTCCATCATTCTCCTTTTTCCCCCTCCCCCATTCTTAGAATAGTTTAAACTGGTCTCATTTTTCCATTTTCATAAGTGAGTACATAATAGTTCCATTATATTCATCCTCCTACACACTTTCCTTACATCTCCCCCTGACACCCCAACCCCACTAGTATTAATCCCCAGACAGGACCTGTTTTACCTTCCTGGTCTCTGTTTCTGAAAAAAGACATTTTTGTTTAAGATAGCTATTCAGGAAGTTTCACTGATGTTTCCATGTATATATGTGTTATAACCCAAATTGGTTCATCAACTCTATTTTTCTCCTTTCTACCTTCGTCCCCTTCTTATGGTAATTTCAACAGGTTTAAAAATTCTATATTCATTCTTGTATAGAAAGTCCATCGACCATAGTCACCTTCTTAACTTCCTCTTTTACCTCTCCTAAATGTGACATGTTTTTCAAAATACTGCTTATATTTGTATTGAGCCTATATTCCACATATGAGTGGAAAAATGCAGCCTTTAACTTGGCCCAAGGGTAGATTGCCTGCCTAGCAAGCATGAGGTCCTAAATTCAAACCATAGTACCACTACAAAAAAAATAAAAAAGAAAAGAAAAAGATAATAAAGTAATATTTTTAAAATAAAAATCTAACATATAATCATGTAGATACCCTCGACAAATGTATAAAATAGCTTTCCACCCAGCACTAGGAAGGTTAAGACAGGAGGATTGTGAGTTCAGGACCAGCTTGGGCTACACAGACTCTGTTTCAATGTTCTATCCCCACCAAAAGGTTTCCATCACACTTTGAATAAAACCCCAGTTTCCTGCATGATCCTACATGGTTTGACTTCTGTCTACTACTCTTGTATTATGCAGCCTTTCCCTTTACTCCCCTTTGTCTACCCTGCTGCCAGATTGGCTTTCTTTGGGGCTTTAGAATTTACCAGATTTCCTTTTCCCACTCCCTGCTTACCTACCTAGTGCTTTCCAGAATTTTCTTCCTTAGGCTATGTTCTTTGCCCTTGTCTAGCTGGTTCTTCCTCCTTCAAGTTTTGACTTCACTGTCCACATTGACTTTTTATAACCACTCTATCCAGAGTGGTTGTATTTGTTTATTTTTTTTTAATTCAGTATTTCCTTCAGTTAGATGGTAGTTTGCTGAGATCAGGACAGCATCTTCTATTTAACCAGTGTACAATAAGAATATTTGGCAACTACTAAGCACTAAATAAATATTGAAAGAATAAACTTCACTGAGTTAGATATAGACTTGATACATTTCCCTATTTAATGCATTTTGAGATACCCTTCTGGTACAAATTTCTATGATGGTGAGTAACATTTACTACATTTATTACTCATTATACTTGCAACTATGAATTCATTGGTTAATAATTAAAAATACATTAAGAAAATCAGAGTGTCATTTTCTTTTTTTAAGGCCTTAAGTCATGTTTCAGCAATATTTGTAGTTTTCAATATATATATCTTGTATAGATTTATTCCTAAGTAGTCAACAACATCATGCCTTTATAAATAATATCAGATCTTCTAAGAATTTCAACTATTTTACATCTATATATGCTGCAGTCTGAGTGGTGGTATCCCTCCAAAATATGCATGCTGGAATTTAATCCATAATGTGATAGTCATTAGAAGGTGATTAGGTCACAAGGGCTAGCAAACCCTTATGAATGGGATTAGTGTCTTTGTGAAACAGGTTTCAAGGAGACTGCTTGCCCCTTTTGCTATGTGAGGACACAGTAACAAGGTCTATTAAGCAGAAAGCAAGTCCTTCTCAGACACCAAATCTGCTTATGCCTTGAAATTGAACTTCCCAGCCTCAGAATTATGAAAAATAAATTTCTGTGTTTTTAAACTACCCAGTCTAAGATATTTTGTTACAGCAGCCAAATGTACTATGACAATGTAGAAATAAAATTGATTCACATTCATTGATCTTGGATCCTTCACCCATGAGAAACACACTTACTAGTTTTGATAGCATTTTTGAAGGGTAGATTTCATTGGATTTTCTATAGAGATAATCATGTCTGCAAATAAGCAAGATTTTACTTCTTTCTACTGTGTTTGTGTTTTATTTCCTCTCTTGTTTTATTGCACTGG